TTCAAGGATATTATCTTCAGGTTTGGCTGAAATTTTCTTCTGCTTCCTGTATTATTTCAACTTTAGGTCCTAGGCAAGTGACCTACACTCTGTGAGCCTCATTTCCTTAGATGTTAAGATGAAGATGGAGATAATGGTAATGACCAGGGCTAGGAACACTGAGGGATTCTCAGGTGTTGATGCTGCACTGTAGGACTCTCAGAGTGAGCACCCCTTGAATCTCATGCCCTGGGTTGTCCAGCTTGCCTCATGCTAGTCCCAGCTCTCCTAAAGACCTCACATGGCAACTCTGAATATTTGGTGAGATAACGCATTGCAGGAGCTTAGCTCAGAGCTGACATATGGTAAATGCTCAGTAAATATGAGCTGTTACTGCAGATCAAGTGATATAATACTTATTAAAAGGAAACTTGTATTTAATATCCACCATGCATTTGGTGCTGTGACTATGAAATCAGAGGATTAGAAAAGAGGGGGGGGAAATAGAGAGGATGATAATAATAAAAAGAAAGGACTATGATAATAAAAGTAGAAAATAAGAAAGGAAAAAATAAATAGCCATGGGAGACAGAAAACTGTACAAAGCAAATTTATATTGACCTTGAAGCTGCAGCTGGGAAGATTTTCTGGGTGAAGAGAAACTCCTTCATCATAATGCGGGATGAGATAATAAAAAAAATCTAGAATATCTTTGCTTCAGAAAATCAGAATTGATTGATTCCCTGAAGCCTGCCCAAAAGAAGAGAAGCAGCCTCAGGCCCGAGATAAAATGATCTTTGGCAATTGGGGTCCCTTGATTTTCATATATTCCAGTCAATACACAGCTTCTTCACATTTTAATTGATCATTCCTCTTCTGGGCGTGGGCCTCAAGGTGATCAGAGTCAGGAGAAGGGCAAGTTTGTTGGTCTCAGAAACACATAAACGGACACTGGAGGCTCCGTACAGCATGAAGAGTATGAGAAATAAAGTCTTTACAAAATAAAACCGTCTCTCCCTAACTCTCTGTCTCTAAATACCAGAATGAAATGGAAAAGTAAGAGAAATTTAGAAAATTAGAAAAGAGTCCAAAGACATTGTTATCTTCTCCAGACTTAACTTTGAGTCCAATTTAAGAACTCTTGAGTTTCTGGGCTCAGTTGGACTTTTGTACCTGATATGGTTACTGGTAAACTTTTATGTTGCCCCAATGCTCTTTTCCCCTTTGGGCCTGAATGCCTTATCTGGCCTTCCTGGACAGGACTGTGGAACAGAGGCCATGAGCATCTAAAGTCAGGAAGGTGGGACTTGCGTGGTGGTCAGTGGCTAAGACTCCATGCTCCCAATGCAGGGGACTCAAGTTTGATCCCTGGTCAGGGAACTAGATCCCATGTGCCGCAACTGAGAGTTTGCAGGCCACAGCTAAGACCCAGAGCAGCTAAATAAATAAAGCAAGCCAAGGAGGCCGAGGCATGGTAGAGAGGGGAAGAACACATCAGCCACCTCCCTGGCCTCAGGAGGCACCAGGGATAGGAGGGTCCACTGTGGAACTTCCACCACAAGACGCCAAGGAAATGTTTGATCAAAAACCTTTGACCTTCTTGGAATCCCAAAGTTTCTTTGTTTTGCTAACATTTAGGGAAGTGACTAAAAAATCAGATCTGTTTAAAAGTAAAATAAAGCACTAGTTCAGGGGTGAGGGGTTTGCACTGGCCCTCCAGCCTTCACTGAGGGGCTTGGGCTTCCCGGGTGGAGCTAGAGCTGCTGGGAGGAGGTGGCTCTGCCTCAGGTGAGCAGCCCGAACCCAACAGGACTGATGTCCTTGTAAGAAAAGGCAGGCGGGCTTCCCTGGTGGTCCGGTGGCTAAGACTGAAGTGAAGTGAAAGTCGCTCAGTCATGTCCGATTCTTTGCAATCCCATGGACTCTATAGTTCATGGAATTCTCCAGGTCAGAATACTTGAGTGGGTAGCCTATCCCTTCCCCAGCAGATTTTCCCAACCCAGGAATCAAACCGGGGTCTCCTGCATTGCAGGCGGATTCTTTACTAACTGAGCTATGAGGGAAGCTGTGGCTAAGACTTCACTCTCCCAATACAGGGGGCCTGGGTTCTATGCCTGGTTGGGGAACTAGACCCCACATGCCACAGCAAAAATCAAAGCTCCTAAGATGTACCACAACTAAGACTTGGTGCAGCCAAATAAATAGAATTTTTTTTAAAGATTATTAAAAAACAAAATAAAGGCAGATTATAAAAGCTGAAAAAAGAAGAAAGAGAAGAAGAACAAGGGACTCCAGGGGTGGGAACACACAGAGGAAAAGCATGTGAGAATGCAGGGGGACGGTGGCCATCTGCAAAACAAGAAGCGAGGCCTCAGGAGAAACCAAACCTGCTGATACCTCGATCTTGGACTTCAGGCCTGCAGAACTGGGGGAAAATACATATCTGTTAAGCCACCCAGTTCACCATACTTTATCATGGAAGCTCTAGCAAACTAATAAAGATGGGATTATAGGAGTCTCTTAAATTTCTCTTCCAATTTCACTATTTCCTAAGTGAAATCAGAAGCAATGTCACCTCCTGGAAGTGAGGATGGAGATGTTGGAGCTTGAAGGACAGAAGTGAAAAGCCATCATCCAGGATTGTGGGAGAACGGAGGGACCAGGGAACACAGCTGGGTTCAGGAAGCACTGAGGGCTCACCTAGATTAAAACAACACAGATCAGACTGCTTATCATCTGTCTCCTCATCCACGTCCAGCGGTAAAGATGGGTAGCTGAGGTGGGAGGTGGGACAGGTGTGGAGTTGAGGAAATGTTGAATTCCACCAGGGCTGCAGTTTTGTGAGGACCATGAGGCAAGAGAAGGGTGAGGATGTCAATGTGTGTGAGGGAATCCAGAAGTTATCATGTGTACTTGGGAGTTATTATCATGAGTGGCTGTGGAATTTCAGTTGGTTAAAGAGGCAATAGAGCAGAAGAGGACAGTTGTGGTGGGATCAGTGATTTGAAGTCCTGATCCAGTGGAGGAGTGGTGGGAACTGGGGTTCAGAAGAAATAAGCAGAGCTGAGAAATTAGGAGGTGGTTGAAGAAGAGGTGGTAGAGGCTTTGCAGGTCTTAATAATGGGAAGGTCCAGCATCTGCGAGGGAGAGGAGAGCAAGGAATGAAAGAACAAGATGTTGAAAGAACCAACTCTGGAGACTTCAGTGGTGGTCCAGTGGTCAAGAGTCAGCCTGCCAATGCAGGGGACACAGGTTCAATCCCTGATCCGGGAAGATTCCACATGCCAAGGGGACAACTAAACCCATGCACCACAGCTAGAGCCCATACACCCTCGAGCCCACATTCTTCAACTAGAGAATCCACCATAAGGAGAAGCCAGAGCACTGTAGCTGGATAGTAGCCCCCATTAACAGCAACTAGAGAAAGTCTGTGTTCAACCAAAAATAAATAAATAAATTTAATTTTTTTGTTTAAAAGAACCAACTCTGTGGATACTGAAATCACCAAGAATTATAGTCAAGGAAGTTGAGAGGGTGGCAGAGAGGCAGGTGCTTGGTCTCAAAGAAGCATGGGGAGTGACTCTGGCTGCACCATGTGTGGTCTGAGGACATGAGTTTTAACCCTGGGGGTCTAAGGTCAGCAAATCTTGTAGGTGATCCTGATGGATACAGCCCAGGGGTCAGAAAGCTCGGAGGTGACAGAACAGAGTCACACAGCTGCCGCCAAAGCTTGCTGTGGCCCCAGACATGGACACAGCCACTACTCATCCAGACTTTTGCTGAGTTCCTCCTTCACCAGCGCCTCCTGGGGGCCCAGGATGTGCCCTGCCCAGCACTGGATGCTCTGGGGCTCAGAGATGAAGATGGAGACTGGGCCCCAGAGGAGCATGGGAGATTCCGGGACCACACTGCCTGGCTCCTCCCTGCCCAAGGGGCACGATCTTCCGGAGTTGAGCCCACCCCAGCCCAGAGGGCAAAGCAGAAGCAGATCCCTGGCCAATTGCCCCCCCGCCACACACATACACACACACACATGTAATGCATTCAAGCAGTCTAAAAAGAGAAGTCTGTGTAGATGTTGTGCTTGAAATTATCCCCTCTGATTTTTGGGAGGATACAATTGCTCATACAGTAAAGAGTGGTTTTCTCCCCACGCTAGGGTTTCGATTATGTGAGTGTATCGTGCACTTCACTCAAACACCCAACAAAAGCTTCATTTGACTGAAAAACAAGAAGGGCTGTCAGCGTGGTGACAAGTTACAACCATGAGTCAGGCCGATGAGAAGAAACCTACTCCCTTCCCCTCACCTTCCGGACCACCCTGTGGGATTCTAGGAAGCTCTCGAAAATAGTTCAGGCCTCCTGTCAGGCTTCTAGATGTGACGAGTTCAGAGGAGAAGCAGTACCTCTGAGTCAGAAAAGCCCAAGGCCACCGCCCGGTCTCCAAGCCACTGGACATCCCCTTTTGTGCATCTTTTCTGCCATCTGGAGACCCTGGCAGGAGCCTTTCTGCCATCCTGCCCCAATCCACTCCCACATACACATTCACACACACATAGCACACCCACTCACACAATTTACTTCGTAATTCCCATCAGGGAGGTAAGTGGACCCAGAGGGTGAGCTGGAAGGGCAAAGATTTCCCCCTCACCCCCCAAGTCACCAAAAGGCAACCTCCAACCCAGAGAGTGGAAATACTCGGCCTAATGGGGCCAAGATACTTGAAAACTGTTTAGTGACAATAGGTAGTGGTCTGATTATATAGCCTTGGGTCACTGAGGTTTGAGAAGCTTGGTGCTTTTTCTCCTTCTTCTTTCTTGTTTTTTGCTACAAAGTATCTGAAGCAACTGGTCAGACTCTTCATTTGACAGCCATGAATGTGGTCCTCAGAGAAATGAAATGATTCGCAAGTGGCCTGGCTAGGACTTGCCCCAGGTCCAAATGACTTCCCAACTCCCAAAGCAGTGCTCTTGCTCGTCCTGAGCAGTGACCACACATTACTTGGGTACACGTCTACATACACGTGTGTGCGTACTTCGCTGCTCCTCGCTGGACTCTGGGCCAGCTTGATGGAGACCTCCACAGCCCCTAACTGCAGAATGAGGAGCTGAGGCCCGGCTGGGCTCTGGGACACACAGGGCACGGGGAGCTATCCAGAGCCCAGGCCTCACGGCGTCAGGCATCCTGTGAGCTGTAGTCAGGCTCTTGCTGGGGTGGCAGCCGCGTGAACAGTGGTCAGCCACTGGTCAAAGGACTCCCCCAGTTCCAAAGCTTCAGAAGAACTTCCACTGAATTCTGTCCTTGGATTTAGCCAGCATTATCTATGAGAGGAGAGAGAGGGCTCATCATCATGCTCTTCAGAACGGCCGTAGATGTGACAGGTTTGGAGGAGGTCGTCTTTGGCATGGCAGCCTCTACCCCAGTAAGATGCCTCCTGCAAGCTAGCGACAGGCCCTCCGAGGGCCCTGGCCATCTCCTGCTATCTTGGGCCCCAGGACAAATAGAAAGGTGAGGACAGAAGCAAGATAGTTTGAAGGCAGGATTTTGAGGCCTCCATGATGGAGCTGATGTGGGAGCCAAGAAGAGATAGTGTCCAACTTGGTGGTGATAGAATTGGAACCCCTGGAGTTCCTAGCTCAGGGCTGCTGTACGGTGTGGTGAGAGACAGACTGTAAGAAGCTTTCTTACCACACAGGGCCTGGGAACAGAGTCTAGCTGAAATTAATCAAGGATTTGCCTCCCTCTTTGCTTTCAGGTTACGCCCTCCCCAAACCACGCAATCACTCAATCCAGAAGGCGGGAGTTATTCTCGGTTCATCCACCGCTCCCCCATGCACATCCCAGCAGGACCCTCTTCTCCATCCCCATTGGTCCAAAGCGCACTCGGCTCCTTCATTCCAGCAACGACTTCCTAGCTGGTTCCCCATGATCTGTCTGTCATGTCACTAGCGGAGATCACATTCTATGAGGCAAACCATGCCATGCCATTCTTAGGCTTAAACCCTTTGTGGCATCTTAACCAAATACTACCAGCCATGCCTTGGCACTTGCTTCTCTCCTCCTGGGATGCTCTTGCCTCTTCTTGTTACCTGAAAATGGCCAGTTATCCTTTTCAGAAGCTGGCAGTATCTCACGGGCAAAGGATAGAGCAGGAAGTCTAAACTCCAGACTCACAGTTGTGGCTGTGGTGCCACAGCCCCACTCAGATGACTCTTGGGCACTTCCGACTTGATGTTGTCCAAAGCCAGATCCTACACCCTACCCAAGCCTGCCCTTCCTCCAGGTAAATAGCACTCCCATCCAGGAAGTCAGACGAGAAAGCTCATTCCTCGTTTCTTCCTTCACATCTCTATATCCAGTCCAGCTTTCCCATTTCCCATTTGCCCACCTCTCCTCATCTCCAATGCCCCCAGGATCTGAGGTAGCATCTCTAGCCCGGTACCAAGGTGGCTTCTGACCTGTCCCCTTGCTTCCACTCATCTCTGTTCTCACCTGTCATCCACACACCAACCAAAGATACTTTTCTTTATTTACAGTTTTAATTTTATGTCTCTTTTGAAAAGAGACATATTTGTATGGATCAAAATTCAAATGGCGATAAGGATCTGGCATCCAGTTTACATAATGAGCTCTATCAACAAAAAGACCTAATTTTAAAATGGGCAAAGAACTTGAATTGACATTTCTCCAAAGAAGATATCTGAATGATCAATTAGTACATGAAAACATGATCATTGTCACGAAATTAGGTGACATTAGGGAAATGCAAATCAATGCAAATCAAAATTAGGTAACATTCAGTTCAGTTCAATTCAGTTGCTCAGTCATGCCCGACTCTTTGCGACCCCATGAATCTCAGCACGCCAGGCCTCCCTGTCCATCACAAACTCCCAGAGTTTACTCAAACTCATGCCCATTGAGTTGGTGATGCCATCCAGCCATCTCATCCTCTGTCATCCCCCTCTCCTCCTGCCCCCAATCCTTCCCAGCATCAGGGTCTTTTCCAACGAGTCAACTCTTCGCATGAGGTGGCCAAAGTATTGGAGTTTCAGCTTCAGCATCAGTCCTTCCAATGAACACCCAGGACTGATCTCCTTTAGGATGGACTGGTAGGATCTCCTTGCAGTCCAAGGGACTCTCAAGAGTCTTCTCCAACACCATAGTTCAAAAGCATCAATTTTTCAGTGCTCAGCTTTCTTCACAGTCCAACTTTCACATCCATACATGACCACTGGAAAAACTATAGCCTTGACTAGACAGACCTTTGTTGGCAAAGTAATGTCTCTGCTATTTAATATGCTATGTAGGTTAGTCATAACTTTCCTTCCAAGGAGTAAGCGTCTTTTAATTTCATGGCTGCAGTCACCATCTGCAGTGATAACATTAAGGAAATGCAAATCAGTGCAAATCAAAATGCAAATCAAAAGGACAATGAGATACCACCTCCTGCCAGTAGGAGCATACTATCAAAAAAAGAAAGTAGCAAGTGTTGGCAAGGATGTGGGAAAATTGGAACCCTTGTGCACTGCTGTTGGGAATGTAAAATGGTGCACCTGCTAAGGAAAATGATTTAGCATTTCCTCAAAAAGTTGAACATAAAATTATCGTGTGTGTGTGCTCAGTTGCTCAGTCATGTCCGACTTTTGGCAATCCCATGGACTGTAGCCCACCAGGCTCCTCTGTCCATGGAATTTTTCAGGCAAGAATACTGGAGCAGGTTGCCATGGCCTTCTCCAGGGAATCTTCCCAACCCAGAGATCAAAACTGTATCTCCTTTTTCTTAATTTATTCATTTTTAATTGAAGGATACTTGCTTTACAAGAGTGTGCTTGTTCCTGCCATACATCAATATGAATCAGCCATAGGTATACATATGTCTCCTTCTTCTTGAACCTCCCTCACACCCCCCACTCCTTCCCACTCCTCTAGGTTGTCGCAGAGCACCTATCTGAGCTCCCTGAGTCAGACAGCAAATTCTCGCTGGCTACCTGTTTTGCACACGGTAATGTATATGTCTCCACGCGACTCTCTCCGTTCCCGCGCCCTCTCCTCCCCTCTCTGTGCCCACAAGTCCGTGCTCTAAGTCTGTGTCTCATGCTGCCCTGCAAATAGGTTCATCGGTACCATCTTTCCAGATTCCATACATATGCATTAATATACTTGTTTAGTTTTCTCTTTCTGACTTACTTCACTCTGTTTAACAGGCTCTAGAATCCACATCTCTTGCGTCTCCTGCATTGGCAGGTGGATTCTTTACCACTAGCCCACCTGGGAAGCCCCTATGCTATATGACGATGATGAAAATGTTAGTCACTCAGTGGTGTCTGACCCTTTGTGACCCCATGGACTATAGTCCACCAGGTTCCTCTGTCCATGGGATTCTCCAGGCAAGAATACAGGAATGGGTTGCCATTCCCTTCTCCAACCCAGATGGAACCCAGGGATTCCTGACCCAGGATGGAACCCAGGTTTCCCACATTACATGCAGATTCTTTACTACATATGACCCACAATTCTACTCCTAGGTTTTGTACCCCCAAAAACTGAAAATTCAATTCAAGCAAACACATGTTCATGCATGTTTACAGCAACACTAACCACAATAGCCGAAAGGTGGAAAGAATCCAAATGTCCATCAACAGGTGAATGGATAAACAAATTGTGGCATATCCATATGATGGAATATTACTCAGCCATAGAAAGGAGTGAAGTATTGACACATGCTTACAATATAGATGAACCTTGGAAACATTACACTGAGTAAAAGAAGCCAGGCATCAAGGGTCATGTACTGTATGATTCCATTTATGTGAAGTATCCAAAATAGGTAAATCTATAGAGATGGGAAGCAGATTGGTGGTTATCAGGGGCTGGAGGAGGGGGGAATAGTGAGGATAGAGGGAGAAGAGGAAGGGGGAGCAACTGCTTAACAGGTGGGTTTCCCTTCGGCCTGATGACACATTTTGGAACTAGATAGCACAACATTGTGAATACACTATGTGCCACTGTATTAAACATTAAAAAAGAAAAAAATTCAAATGATGTGAAAGACTATGTGGTGAAAAGTCTGCACAGTCCCACTCCTGTGCTCTGGCCATCAGGTCCTTCTCCCCAGGGATAACCAGTGTTGTACAGTTCTTTATCTCCTTCTTGAATATTCCACACATATAAATCCATGGTAGCCATGAATCCATGCACAGCTCAGACCCATCACCCCTACTGTGTGTGTGGGGGGGGGCGGTCAGCCACCCACAGCCTCGAGATGCTACGCTTGAGGGTGAACCCTCCCCATTGCTCCCCGTCAATGATGCAGCCAGCGGGGCTCCGGCCTGACACACACTCCAGTAACTTGGTCTTTGCTCCGCAGCTGTGACTTTCTCAGAGCTGCACCTCCTTCCTTCCCCCTCTTCCTTCGCAAGCATCAGATCCCTGCCCTGGGATCTGAAAGCTCTTCCCACCTCACTCCTGCTTTTTCTCCCCTTTATCCTCCAACATGGTTTCCCCCAACAAACCTCCTGCACTTGTAATTCCATTTTGGTTTTTTCTTCCTGGAGGACCCAAACTCACAGAAACACATCCTTTTCTTGCACAAATAACATCCATGTACACTGGGACTTCCCTAGCAGTCTGGAGGTTAAGACTGCATGGCAGGGGGAACCAAGATCCTTGTCGTTCATTGCCGTTAAACACTGTTTCCTTCATGCCATTTACCACAACCAGCAATTGCTTGTATGTTTACTGTTCTTCACTAGATTTTAAGTGTCGCAGTGTCTGGCTCATGTTACTAAGAACTCATTGAAAGAATGTTTGAATAAATAACTAAATACCCCTCCCTGGACTCCAGTGACCCGAGATTCCTCATATTCTTTCACATTGCACGTTGTGCTCCCAAAGCTGGAAGGCTCCTCACCTCCCAGGAGGCTACATTTCCCAGGTGTTGTCAGCCAGCGAATATCTTTCTCTGGGATCCTTCTGAAGGCAAAATATGACTCACACCTTGGTCACAGGCGTGTCCACAGAAGATTAGAAGCCCCACTGAAGACTTCTGGCAGTTGCCAAAGCAGACCTTAGCCTGAAAGTTGCTGTCTCAGAAAAAGAGACAGTCATGTGGCCTCCTAAGATTTT